ACTGGACTTCCTTGTATGCGTATAGATATTATCCTGTCACTGACAATATTAGAGAGAGAAAAAATCCTCATATTCAGGGAAATCATAGAGTTTGCTCTTGGTTCTGGTATCATATTGGATGGATTGCCTGAGAGGATGCCTGTCCTCCATTCCCTGCACCCACTACAACCAATACAGGAGCCACTAACTACCCATGCCCAGGCTGTGCTTGATTGTGACCAGGGCATTGTAATAACTGAATTTTTTTCATTTCATTTTCATCAGTTTAACCTTATGTAAAAAATGACCACCAAATTAAATAGCCTTGCTATAACATGGAATAGTGTTTAGTAACTACAGCTCAAAAATATCAGTGATGAAAGTTGATGATAATTGTATTAATCATATTTATACCACAAAAAAAATATTACCTTAAAGAAACCAGAACTGCCACCCAAGCAGATATATGCACACCCATGTTTATCACGGCTTTGTTCACAATAGCAAATAGTTGGAAGCAACCCAAGTGCCCATCAACAAACGAATGGTTAGAGAAGCTGTGGTATATTCACACAATGGAATACTCTGCTGCATTGAAAAACTAAGAACTCATGAAATATTATACAAAATGGGTGATCCTTGAGGACATTATGCTGAGTGAAATACCTCAGTCACAAAAGGACAAATACTGCATAGTGCCACTGTTGTAAAATGGAACTGACATCGGGGTTAGAGGAACCTAAGAAAAGAGGGGGTAAATAATGTGTACTGCATTGAAACAGATGAGCGAGAGAACTCTTTAAAAAACTTTATGATTAGGTATTATTTTCATGACGAGAGTCCAGAATAAGAGATACATAATAAAGTGGACTAAGGGAGAGGATTGTATAACAATGAAAGAAATTTTTTTTTCTCTTCAAGGAGAAGAACAAACTGAGAAAAGGGTGAGTAGGGAGGAAAGTGCAACAGTGTATGAATGGAAATCCAAAGTCTCTGTAAACCTTCATTTTTTTTAAAAAAAGTTAAATCTTTTATATTTATTTTGCCTCTTACAACTCTAGATATGACTACCTGTAATCCCTCACAGTTGAAAGGTAACGTGTACTTTCCCCCAGCATGTTGTTAATGAAACATTTCTGGTCTCTCTTAGTGTAACTGAAGACTGTTTGGTACCTATCTGCTGTGGACTGTATGACCTCCTGAGCGGAGTTCTTCTTATCCTGCCTGACGTTATGCTTGAAGATGTGGTGGACACGCTGATTCAAGCAGATACCCTCCTAGTGCTTGTGAACCACCCATCACCTGCTATCCAGCAAGGAGTTATCAAAGTAAGGACAAACGGCAGAGGTGCTGTGCAACTTAAGAAAGTAGCTATGTCTGACTTAGACATCGAGTAGACATGTCAGCATATACCCACACCTGTCTTTTATAATTAATATTAATGAGCTGATATTCAGATGCCCTCCTGGTGCAGTGGTCGAAGCACTCATGTCAGAAGTTTCCAGGAGAAAGATGTGGCCCTCTGCTTCTGTGAAAACGATAGCCTGGGGAAATTTGTAGGGGAACGCTGTTGGCCTGCGGGATTGCTGTGAGCCAAAATCAATGCAGTGGATTTGTGTGGAGCTTTTTGTTTTGTTTTTCTTATAGTTAATAATGTGTGTTTCATATTTTATGTGTACTATCATCCAATTTAAATCCTTCTCTGCATGTTGATATTTTTTTTACCTCAACATGGTTTTTTAAATCTCCTAGTAAATTCACGGGTTTTGCCACTTGAGTGTGTCTGTGCAGCAGAGACAATGAGGAAGATGTAGTTTATTGGGAATACCTGCACCTGCTGTGGTGGAAAATGGTAGACATTTACCTGCATTCTCTGCATGTATGGCACCTTCTCAAAGAGGTCCCTTGTGAAGTTTCCCTGGCCCCACTCCTCGTTTGTTTCATTGCATCATCCTATTTATTTCTCATAATCATCTTGCTAATTCATCTGTGCACCTTTGTTGTTGTTTTTAAATACAAGTACCATGAGGGTAGCACTTGTGCCTCTACATGACAGGCACCTAAGACACTGAATGTATGAATATGGGGTCCAAGTGGTTTTCATTACAAAGCAGTCCAGTGACGAGATGGTCTTATAAGGATCATTCTTTTCTTTTGTGTGTCTACATGTGGAACTGACTTTAGTCAATTGTACTTTAACTAAGTTTTCCATGTACCCAACCCTGGGCTAGTTGCTATGTGGAATGTAAAGAAGCATAATACAAGCTGCTAGATTCAAGGAGTTTATACTCTAATCTGAGAGAGAAACACGTGTCCAGCTAAATAGAATGTAAGGAATTCTGAGATGAATTCTAAAATGACTTGGAGAATGATGGAGAATGGGTGCCTATAAGAAGCACTTTATTCTGATGAGGAAACCAAGCAGATGCAATGAAAGGATATATTTTATATTATACTCTAAACTTGGAAAGCTTTCCAGAAGACTAGAAAATAGATATGTGTCGTGTTTGGCTATAAGGGACAGGGGATTGAGAAGTTGTTATATTCTGGTGTTACCAAGCTCCAGGTGAGATAGTACTCCAGGTAAGAAATGAAGACTTCCCAGTCGAAGGTAGTGAGAAGTCAGAGGATGACACAGATTTCAAAGATATTGACTGGAATAGAGGACTTTCCTCTATAATTCATCATGGGAAAGAGTAAAAAAGTTAGCCTTCAAAAGTCTTCACATCATCCTCTCAGAAAAGAAGTCATTTTAGAAGGAAATACCATTTCATTCTAGACACGTTGCCTTTACAGTTAGAAAGGGTGGGAATGCAGACCTATGCCCAGGATGAGGGATCTGTCAGGAAATCTACAGAAAGTCTGATCTCTGTGGACATAGATTTGCAGTTACAGCTCTTGCCTGAGCTGTTTCTCCTTTGAAATTAGAAATACCCTTTTACTGAACTAAAGAAGCCACTTTTTTTTGTATCAGAGAAGTATTAGGATCGCCCAGATAAGGTCGTTTTTGTTTTACTTTGGCAGCGGCATGCCTTTTTTTTTGCATTTTCCATGCATATGTAGATAAAATGAAGTTAATAATTTATCAGTATGGCACACTGGCTAATTTGAATATGTACTGTAGTGTATTTTAATATGTTACCTAAATGATTCTATTTTTCTTTAGCTATTAGATGCCTATCTTAATAGAGCATCTAAGGAACAGAAGGATAAATTTCTGAAGAATCGAGGATTTTCTTTGTTAGCCAACCAGCTGTATCTTCATCGAGGAACTCAAGAATTAGTAGAGTGCTTCATTGAAATGCTCTTTGGCCGAAGTATCGGCCTTGATGAAAAGTAAGTGTGTCCTCCCCATCAATCATTGGGGCATCTTTTGTTTTAAATGAGTTAGCTAAGTCATTTTTAGAATTATTAAATCATTGTTGTTTTTGTTATTACATTCCATGGAGTCTACTGAATCTCAGTGACCCTTTGACCAGATATGAACCTTGCCCTATTCTGTGCCTTCCTTGGGATCCATTCTTTTACTACACCTGTTTTCACTAGTTCAATTCATTTTTTATCTAGCCCCCTAGAATAAGTTTCCTTTGTTTAATATTTTATTATAGTTTAGGTTAAAGTTCACCGAGCAATCTGTCTTTCCATCCAACAATTTACGCACAGACTGTTCTGTGACCGATGATGATTGCGATCACGTTTCCAGCTTGACTTCTACCTGCTCCCCCTTTTCCCTTCTTCCCACCTTGCCATCTGAGCCCTGCTCTTGGGTCGCACCTAGTCGATACATCACTCTTAGATGGTGCTTAGATGGTGCTCACTAACACATCTGTCCTCTGTGGAGTGGAAAGGTGATCCAGAAGTGGCTTCCATTCTGTTTGTGGGGCACCTGATGCCATTGCCTCAGGGCTTCCCAGCCTTGGTAAACTTGATCTTTGAGGAACCTCAGTTTTGTCTACCCCCTTCTCTTCTACTCTATTCAGTACCTTCTTTCATCACCGCAGGCAAAGCAGCAGCCAGGCTCCTTCCAGTTCCCCTGGTCTTGGGGTTTAGCAGGGCTGTGGATCATGTGCTTTCACAATCCTTGGCATCGCTTGTTTCCTTTCCATTACTCATCTTTGCTCTAGATGCAAAGACACAGTAGCTATAACCTAGATGGCTGCCAGTAAGCTTTTAACAGCCCTGTTGCTACTCATCAACACAGGGTGTAGAACATTGTCTTAGTGGTCTGTCATTCCATTTGACTTAGATGTGTCCCCCTAGACTACTATCCCTAGCCCCCAGGCCTAGTATCTCAGTCCCAGGAGGTGCCACATGTTTGTTCCCCATACAAGTTCATTAAATGGAATCTCTGGACATTTAATGAAGAATTAAAATAAGTCTGTTAACCCTTCAGAATAGTAGGCAGAATTTTTTACCTGAATGTTTGTGCATCTTAGAATAGGTAAAAGCTTTGAATGTTTATATTTTTAATGTTAAAAATGACTAAGTTCTCTTTATACCATATTATTTGTTTTTAAAACTTCAAAATCAAGTAAACAAAAGACTTGTCATAATTACCACTGCTTTTCCTTATTTTGTGACTGATTGCTTACAAATGTCTTTCAGCTATATATTCTTTGTTACAGATTTGATCTGGAAGATGTGAAAAATATGGGACTTTTTCAGAAGTGGTCCGTGATTCCGATCCTGGGACTAATTGAGACCTCGCTGTATGACAACATACTCCTGCATAATGCCCTTTTACTTTTGCTTCAGATTTTAAATTCGTGTTCCAAGGTAGCAGATCTCTTGTTGGATAATGGTCTCCTCTACGTGCTGTGTAATACAGTGGCAGCCCTGAATGGATTAAAAAATAAGTAAGTTTTAAATTCTATTTTGGTAACAATTTAGAGAGGGAAAACCTGAGTAATAGAATGCATTAAAGCTCTGGATGTCAGTAAGTACTCTCAAAGAACTTCTTTCACACAAAATTTTATAGATGAAATCATTTTCATAACACTACGGCCGACCATTTCCAACAAAGTTTCATTAAAAAGAGGTCTTTTTGTATGATCTATATTTAGGGATTAAAACAAATGAAATAAATTTCATTTCCCTCAAAATCTTTTTGACAAACTCCCACTACAGCCTTATGAAAACACTTATGTTGAATGAAAATGAGAGCTGATAAGTGTTGGGCACTGCCTGCAGACCAGACACATAATTTTGCTTTTATTGTATTCATATAACAATGCAATTTTAGAGAGATGCGATAACTTGTTGGGGATGAAAATGCTAGTAAGTAGTAGTGGATTGGAGACAGAATTGATCTCACTTAAAAAGCCTCTGTTTCGACTGCACCATGGTGGCTGAGTGGGAAAGAGCTGCACTGCCAACCTAAAGGCAGGAGGCTCGTATCCACCAGCTGCTGTGTAAGAGAAAGGTGAATAATCTTCTCCCATGTGATTTATAGCCTCTGAAAACCCACTTGGAGGATCAGCTATGCGTCGATTCCAGCTCAACAGCAGGAAGTTTTTTAGTTTACTCTACAATTAGCAAACAGTATCACCTGCTGATACCTTAAATTAATCTCTGATAGCCGGAAGTCATGGTGGTAAACTGCTGCCCACCATATTGATTAGAAACTTGACAAGCATGTTAGAGTTGATATTTTTCCCATTTTGATTTTATGTATTTTGGGTCTAAGTAAATGATATGTGATATCTTTTATCATCCTGGTGTTCAAGCATAGAGTTCCCAAGTGAGGACCTGAGCAGTCCCCGCTTACTGCATCAGAACTCAGGGCAGAGGAGGTCCTCAGTGACTCTCGAGGCCAAAAGGGGCCTCCTTGTCTTCATCTCAGCTCAGCTTATTGAGCACCTGCTTCATTTTGAGTCAGGGGATAGACATGTTGTTGTTGTTGTTATTATGTGCCATTGAGTCACTCATAGCAACCCATTGTACAACAGCCCTAAACCCTGCTCTATCCTGTACCAGTCTCACTTTCTCCGACATGCCTATCTCCACTACCCCAGTTACGGAATCAATCCATCTCATAGAGGGTCTTCCTCTCCTGCACAGTCCCTCCACTTTCCCAAGCATGACATCCCTCTCCAAGGACTGATTCCTTCTTGCAGCATGTCCAGAGTATGTCAGATGAAGCTTCAGACTACTTGCCTCCAAGGAGCAGCCTGGCTTCACCCTCTCCAGGACGAACTTGTTCTCCTAGAAGTCCATGGTATATTCAATACTCTTCTCCAGCACCAAAGCTCAAAAGCATCAACTCTCCTTCTAGCATCCCTAGTCATTGTCCAGCTCTCTGAAGCACAGCAAGTAATGGCAAAGACCATGAACTTGATCAGGCACACCTTAGTCTCCAGACTGACACTGTTACTCCTCAGTACCTTGGAGAGGTCTCTGACAGCAGACTTTCCCAATACACTTCGTTTTTTAATTTCCTGGCTGGTGGTACCAAGAGTTTTGATTAGAGTCAAACAAACTGAAGCTGTTAACAATCTCAATCTCTTCACCATCTATCATGATGCTGCCAATTGGCCTAGTGGTGAGGATCTTTGTTTTCTTGACATTGAGCTTCAATCCATATTGAAGGCTGAAAAAGAAATAAATTAATAATAATAATAATTAATACCCAGTACTCTATTTCTTCAAAACAGTCTTGATTACAGCACCTGAAATTGACAAAACTTGGGAAGGATGGCTATGGGAGGATTCTGAGGGCCATTAAAAAAATCAGTAAATAAACTGTGTTTACCAAATGGCCCCCAGTGCTACTTAATCAGTTGACCAAACACAACCTTTTCTCACCCTTGCTTGATTGGGAGACATAAATGGAGAGAAGTATTTAAGCTGCGGTGGATTATTGTTTAAAAATTGGAGGGTAGAAGAAACAAATTTCTATGTATTTATTATTTATTAAGTTATTAAGATGTTTTTTCAGTGTTTTTTTAAATAATTAAGTATAATTTACAAAGTGAAGTTCAATGAAGTTGATTAAACTGTTCAAATTTACCCTTTCTGAGAAGCCTTTCAGAATGTTTCTGTGGGTACCCAGCCAACCCTTTTCCTTAGTTGTGGGGAAGGACTTGCCCACATTAATGTTTACTGTAACCCCGCAGTCTACTGTTTGTGGGCCTCCCTCTACTCCTCTGGCCTTCTGCCAGACTTTAAACTTATTGACAGGAGGGGAAAATGTGTCTTCTTAATGCTCCTTGCCGCATGCAACAATGTATTAGGTAATACTAGGAAATAATCTGACATAGACTAAGTAGGAATACATTATTGAATTATTTGATGAATGGATGGGGGATTTTAAACTCAGCTTAAAGTTCTTTTACATGTTCTTTTCTATTTTCTTTCATTATCTTTAGTGTTCCTTTGAATGAGTACAAATTGCTTGCATGTGATATCCAGCAACTTTTCAAAGCAGTTACGATTCATGCTTGCAGTTCCTCAGGCTCACAATATTTTAGAGTTATTGAAGACCTTATTGTACTGCTCGGCTATCTTCAAAACAGCAAAAACAAGAGGACACAAAGTAAGATCTCATTTTTATGAGTTTGAGGGAGTTATATTACAGCAAACATGTTATTTGAACCTTATCTCTACTGCCACCCCCAACTCAGAAAGTCTATTCTAAAGGCATTAACCTTAATTTTGTGATCATATCTGTTGGCTTTAAAAAGAATCCCTTTTAAGTGGCAGAACAGAAAAAGTGAAGCCTTGATACAATGAATTTGTGAACTAATATTTTTTTCTCTTAAGCTTTGTTCAGTGTCCATCTGTAAAGATGCTTCAAAGTTGCCTTTGAAAATAATATTAAAATGTCTACTACACTCAAGAACCTATGTTTACCAAAAATTTTCAATTTCTACTTTTAATCAAATTGTTGACACTTTAGATAATACTTGAATATAAAAGTCAGTCTCACTTTAAACTGCACAGCTGCAACCCTGAGGTGCCCTCATGTCTCTATCCGTAGCCATGGCCGTCACGCTGCAGTTCTGGGTTCTCCAGGCAGCTGTGGAGTTCATAAGGACCACTGCCAGCCAGGACTCTGACAGCCTCTCCCACACAGTCCAGTTAGCCGCTGCTCCCCATCACGCAATATTTCAGAAGCAGAGGAGTATTCCTGGTGAGTACTGAAATAAGATTCTAACAACTGAACCACGAAGGTGGTCTTCCTTTCCTATGTTTTGCCATTCACATCATTTCTTATATCATAAAAGGTTAAACTCTGAGGGGTTTTTTATATATTATTTCTTATTTGCATACAGTCATTCATGTACATTGTGTTTTGTGTGGTCCTTCACTTAACATTGTGTCTTACATAATCATTCATATACATTGCATTTATGTCATTAATTTCTATTGATCTAAATTTTGAGAGCATTTTCTCCCCAGAGAAGGCTGTTCTGCTGCTGTCTCTTCAGTGTTGTTTTCACATAGTTACTTAGGGGACACTTGAATGCCAAACATAGTGCTCAGTGTTGGAAAAAAGAGACACTGTTTCTGCCCTTGCGTATCTTTCAGCTTTGTGGGAAGCATAAAGATGGTAGCAAAGCAGCCTGACTCACATCCAGAGTTAAGGGGACTCTGAGGAAGTGAGATAATGATAGGATAGATAAGGGAGGAGATAGTGAGAGAAGAGTATTATGACTGTTAGGGGCAGAGTGAATGGGCCCGTCAGAAGGTCTTGAAGTGGGAAGAAGCAACGTTGAGGTGAGAAAGGAAGCTTTCGAACTCCAGCATACCTGATGAAAGAGCAGTGCCAGGCAAGGCTGTGGGAGATGGCGTGGGCCAGGTCATATGCAAGGATGCAGGCCATGAGAAGGAATTAGATTTTGTGTTACTGGGAAGCTATCAGAGGTTCTATGGATAGGTGGCATGGCATCAGAGTTTTGTTTTCTAAAGCTCTCTCACTGCTGTGTGAAAATAGTTTAGAGTTAAACAAGAAGGTTGGCGTGGAGTTCAGTTGGTGTTGCAGTAGTCATTGCAGGAGCTATTGGTGGGTGTAGCTGTTTAGAATGAGATGACACCAGTGCTGGCTGTAGGGTAGGGTATCTCTTTATATAGGAAGTGGTAATGTCAGATTCTCTTAATTTCACCAAAGAGTAGTATCAAGTTTATACACATGTAATTCAGGAAAATAGCAAACAATGTCTCTCTCTCTCTCACACACACACACACACACACACACACACACACTCTATAGTGTATTCATACATACACATCTTTAACACATGTGTTTGAGAGTGCGTATGTTTTGTGTGTGTGTGTGTGTACCATCAAATTGGATCTGACTGGTACAGGAGAATATTATCCCTCCTTCTCCAGCAGAGCATTTTGTGGATTCGAACTGCTTATCCCTGGGATTGCAACGCAACCCCCCACCACTAGGCCACCAGAGCTTGCCACGTGTTTCTTATGTTTCTCCACACATCAATCAGTTGGTTAGTTAAAGTTGAACCACTCTAAAAAGAGTGTAGGCAGACTGGGGTAGGCCAAGTCTGAGTTTTACTGACTCCCAGTACAAAACTAACTTCTAAAAAGTCAGACATGGTCTCCCATGCTCCTGTGCCTACTTCTGCAAATTCCAACACCAGTCTTACGGCTCTGCTGGATCCAAAATCCATTGCAGTGGCCAACTAGATCCCACAGAACCATACTCACAGTTATGGAGTGTGTTAGAGAAATTAAGCCGTCACAATTTAGGTTGAAAACAGGATACAATTCTTCAGTGTTACAGAGTCCTTTTAGACCTGTCAGTTAGGCATCTTCCCTCTGTGGGACAGCAGGCGTGGCTCAGCTGTCTCATATCAGTCTCTAGTCACAAGTCAGCTCTGTCTCAATGGTCTTAAAGGCTTTTAAACTCGAATCTTACTATTTGTATTAAGCTACTTCATTGTGTTTAGTAATTCCAAGTTTAAAATTCCATGAAATATTAACCTATAAAGAAAAACTGTTAAATAGAAATTCTCTGGCAATAGCAAGAATTTAAGTTCTAAATTACTCTAAATAAAATGAAACTGTCTCGTAGAGCAAAAGTCCTTTCCCCTCTGCATGCCTCCTTATTTTGTGCCTAACACAATTTCCTACCTTCACCTTTTCTCCCATTTGTTACTCTCTTTTGTCCTGGTTGGAGTCTACTCTACCAAGCCTGGCATGACTACTTAACCACAGACCAAAAGATGACTTTTGAGCTACCTTGTGTACCTTTTAGGATCTGTGACAAATGGGACTCACCTTCTAATGATACAGGAAAATACACCTCTACTGCTTTCACTAAATCCTCCTGTTACTTTCTTTTTAATAGTCAAATATCCATTCCTTCCAGGCTCCCATACTTGATTCCTGGTTTGATTCCTCATCATTTTGGGGCTTTGATAACACAATAGCCATTATACTGATTTTTTTTTCCAATAAGTAGTTTTAAAAAAGTTATTTTTCTGAAACTACCTTCTCTTTGATTAAATGCCAGCATTTTTATCACCTTGGTCCTCATAGCATTGAACAGCTCAGAGTTTATTGTTTATTGAGTTGTTTTTCAATCTGAACATGAGCTTTAACCCCTCCATTCCCTTTAACCTATTTTATTTGTGGTTTTGCCCTCTGTAAATAAATACAGTTGTTTCAGTCAGGTAAAACTTACAGAATCCTACAAAAGTTAAGCTTGATTGAAAAACTTACAGTGTCACTCAGTCTATTGGCTTCATTTTATGACCCTGCTGAGGTCTAGAGCCAAGCACTTCTGGCACGGGGACCCTGCACCCTATCCACCCACCCACTCCAGACCTATCAGACTTCTAGGATTCTGTCTTTCCTATCCTTTCTTCTGTTTTAAATATACATCTTAATGAAATTGTTTCTTTGAGAATCCAGTTTACAGAATGCTAGTTTATATATTATAGTTGTTGCTTTGTAATTGTTCATGATAATCAACTGTGGCTAAACAGCATGAAAGCTGTCAGAGATGTCAATGTTAGGAAGAATCTGCACAAATGGATGACTGCGTCTCACAGCGTTGGTCCTGAATGTATCCAGGATATGAATTTGTTTCCTTTGGATTTGCTTCTTTTCCTGCCTCAAATGTGACTCTACCCACCAAAATACACTGAATGATTAGTAGAAATACTGGACAGTCAAGATGCTGCCATAGTGTTTATCTCTTACAGATGAGTCATTAAAACCTTCCATGAAAATTTAATCATATGTAAGTTATTTAGGCTCTTTATGGAAATTGACATGTGTTTTTGTAATTTAATGCAAAGATTCAGTTCCAGTGAAGGGTTCCTTTGTTCCTCATCTACCAAGACGCCAGTTTGGTTCTGATGGACAAATTCCAATTCCTTTCTCCTTTGGTCTGTTGAATCAAGATTCATGCTCTCCATTTCCTCCTGGATCCTCTTCTTATGAATCACCTCCTAGAGCAGGTGCAGTAATGGTGCAGGAATGCCATTCCTACCTATCCAATCTGAGGAAACATGTCTCCAGGAATGCTTGATAGGGGGGCATTCTAAATGATGCACATGCTCAAATCATTTTCATATCAAATCAGATGAAGTCTCTTTATCTTTCTGATCTCTTCCTTTCCTTGTTGACTCTATATTATTTTCAAACCAATAAAGTTGTAGAATGGTCATTTCCTAAAAATACTAATGATCCGGCTAAACCATGGGTGCTTTGAGAATCTGTTGATTTTGGTTGTGAGGAAGTGGAACAGTAAAGCCTTCTGAACCAGAGAAATCCATTTAATACTTTAAGGTGTATCGAAGACTCGAGGTTTGGCAAATGAAATCTGTCCTGTGAAATAAACCATGTCACTTATCAGGCAATACTGTTACACTTCTTCACAGAGAGAATGTCACCTTCTTGTAATCACTCACTCTGTATAAATTAGCAGTGTGTTTTAAAAGGGGTCTTTTGATGGTGTGATAATCAAAATGTTGCTGCTAAATGCCTTGGTGACATTGTGGGCTCCTTCAATTTAATGCTAACATTTAATGTTCTACATACCTGAAGGTCCTCGCAAATTTTCCCTTGCCCAAACTGAGTCTCTTCTGATAAAAATGCGTTCCGTGGCCAGTGATGAGCTTCACATGTTGATGCAGCGGAGGATGAGCCAAGAGAACACCACCCGGGCAACCGAAACAGAGCTGGCCCAGCGACTGCAGAGGCTCCTCATCTTAGCTGTCAACAGAATAATTTATCAAGGTGAGCCTACAGGATACACAGTCTTGAAGTAACAGGTAAATTATGTAAGAAAAAATGAGAAGTTTTAAATTTGTGTTCTACTGTCGTTGGGTAGTTGTTTATTAGGTGCTGTTGAGTCAAAACCGCCCCATAGCTGAACCCTCAGTGGGTTTTCAGAGACAGTTAGTCACATGGGAGGAGTTTGTCCACCCTTCTCCCTTAGAGCTGCTGGTGGATTTGAACTGTGTATCTTTGCATAGGTAGTGCAGTTCTTAATCACTAAACCTCCAGAGGTTGCTGCTGCTGTTAGGTACCATGCAGTTCGTTCCAACTGAGAATGACCCTCTGCAGGCTGTAGCCTTGCTCAGTCCTGAGCCATCCTCACAATCGCCCCTTGTTGTAGTCACCATGTTACTCTCTCATTGAGAGTCTTCTCTTTCTCTGACCTTCTCCCAGCATGATGCCCTTTTACAGGAACTGGCTCCTGCTGACAGCATGCCCAAAGTACACGAAGCAAAGTTGTGTAGTTGTTGTTGTTATTAGGTGCCGTGGAGTTGAGGAGAGTGGTCTGTCTAGTGAGTAGAAGGATTCTGTTGGCTGATGGTGTCATTGAGTTCTGTATCTTGGTTGATTTCCTTCCTAGTTCTCCTTTCACCTGTTGAGAAGGGGACTATCACTGCTGATTTCTTTTCAATATTGTTTGTATGAGCTATGTGTTGATTCTGAGTTGATGGCAATGAGTTTATGGCTTTTGCAGAGTTTCAATAGTATTCTAGTCAGCTGTGAAGAATTTCTTTTAGATTGATGTACTTTGTGTCATTTCATTGAACATGGGAAAATGTTGAGGTGGCAAATGATCTATGTTATATATAAATATATAACACAAGAATAAAAAATTCTGAGATAAAGTTTTTATTATTTTTTCAGTCTTCTGATATTATTATACTTTAATCTCTTGGTTATATTTTTTAATCCATTCTACAAATTTCTTTTTTTTTTTTAAATTCAAGTTGAGGTAGTTTATTCAGAAATTCCAAAGATTTTTAAAAACAAACAAATGAAAACCAACTGTAATTCTGTAGAATACATTCTAATTCATGGTGATTCTTAGTTGATTTACAAAGCTGTGAGTCTCTAAAGTAGGAAATTGTCCATCTTCCTCCCACGTAAACACTCATGGATTCAAACTAGCAACGTTTCAGTTAGTATCAACAGGAAATGTACTGAAGTAATCAGTATATTAAATCAATAGCTTAGTCAGTATATAATTTTTTAATTAAATTTTATTAGTTTTAATGAACATTTACAGAGATTTGGGGTTTTCATTCATTCATTGTTGCACTGTTTTCTCTACCCTCCTCACCAGTTCGTTCTCCTTTCCCCCACCAATGTCTGTTTTAATTGTCCAATTGCCACAGTGCTTGTCAAAGCCAGTTCTGATTAATCTCCTTTGTCAGTGTGTCCCTTGCCAT